ATTAGAGCCCTCACATTTGTCCTATTTTTTCATTGATGGCTTTCATAATTTTGGGATTCACATTTAATCTTTAAGACATGCTGAGTTGGTTTTAGTACAGGGTTTGAGGTAAAGGGCTTGTTTCAATCTTTTACATATTGTTTTCCAGTTCTGCCAGCACCATCTGTTAAAGAGACTATCTCTTCCCCGTGTAACATACCTACGCACTTTGTCAAAAATTAGTTGGCTGCATGTGGATGGGTTAATTTCTGGATTATCGATTCTGTTCCACTGATCAATATATCTTTCATTGTACCAGTACCAGTCTGTTTTGGCCACTGTAGTTGTGTAGTAGATTTTGAAATCGGGCAGTGAGAGGCTTCAAACCTTGGTCTTCTTCTTAAGCAGTGCTTTGCTTATCGTGGGTCTCCTTCCTTTTCAAATAGAGTTTGTAATTGTTTTATCCATCTCTTTGAAGAATGTCTCTGCAATATGGATTGGGATTGCATTTTATGAGTATATTACTTTGGGTAGTACTGACATTTTCACAATGTTGTCTTCCTATCCAGGAACATGGTATGTTCTTCCACTTTTGTAAGTCCTTTTTGTTTCTTGTAGTAGTGATTTGTAATTCTCTTCATATGTGTCCTTTGTTTCTCTGGTTATGTTTATTCCTAAATATTTCACCCTTTGGGTGGCTATTGCAAATGGTATTTCTTTCTTAATGTCTTTTTCAGTGATGCCTTTGTTGTTATAAAGGAATCCAACTGATTTTAGTATCTTGATCTTCTACCCTGCCACCTTGCTGAGTCTTCCAATAATGTCTAGTAGCTTTTTTATTGAGTCTTTGGGGGTTTCTATGTATAAGATCATATCATCTGAAAATCAGATCCTCTGTTATTATAATTTTATTCTGTTCTTGACTCTTCCACTTGTCAATTGAGTTCAGGGTTATTCTGCCATGTACATCATTCTCTAGTTGTTATCTGTTCTTGTTGGTTATTAGTCCACAGTCACTTTATCTCGTTTCTGGACATTGGACATGTGCTAATATGTCATCTGGACAAAAAATTGTATGAACCTTTATCTCTGAGGATACGTCAGGTCTCTGCAATGGGATTTCCATTCTGTTTCCATATTTGCTGCGGCTTTCTGAAGATGACTGCACCCTTCTCAAGATAGCTGTGCCCATCTCCATAGTTGGGTCCTTTCCACCTCATAGTAAACCTTTGTAGAGTTTTTGAGGTGTGACTGGTGGGTTTGAATTCCAACCTTGTGATTTTTTTAATCCAGTGCTTATTCTATAGTGCCATACCAGGGCTCCATATAGCTGATATAAGTTTAATATTCAGAGTATATAATGAACTTTTAAACTTCAATTAAAAATGTATATATACTTTGTTAAAATATGAGAAAAGGTCTTGGAGAGACAGTTTTTAAGATATACAAATGGCCAACAGGCACTTTAACTGATGCTCAACATCAATTGTCATCAAGGAAATGCAACTCAAAACCATATGCGATATTACCTTTTACCCATTTTCATTGCAACAATAACAGTAATAATAATGATTATTTCTCAATTTGGACTCAGGGTTACCCTGTGTGTTGCAGGACAAAACCACCCTATAGGGTTTTCTTGGCTGTATTTTTCAGGAGGCAGATATCCAGTCCTATCTTCTGCATTGGCATTGGGTTCATTTAAACTTTGTAAACTTTTGTTTTAGTAGTCATGCACAAACAGTTTATGTCATCTGGAAACCTTGTAATAATAACAATGATACCAATGATAACAGAAATAACTGAAAATAATGCGTGTTGATAAAGTTGTAAAAAAGAATAAAATAAATAAAAGGAAATCTCACAAGCACTCTGGGAATGTAAAAGAGTATAGCAACTTTGGAAATTATTTGACAGTGCCTCAAACAGATAAACATGGAGATTATTTGATATAGCTTTTCCACTCAAAACTATATACCTAATAGACATGAAAACAGATATACACCAAAAATTTTGTATACAAATATTTATAGCATTATTTCTCAGAATAGGTAACAAATAAAAACCTTTAAATGCCTATAAAGAGAAGCATATAGGAGCTCTGGTAGCGTAGTGGTTATGAATCGGGCTGTGAACCACAAGGTTAGCAGTTCGAAACTACCAGCTGTTACAATGGAGAAAGATGAGGCATTCTGCTCCCATAAAGATTTACAGCCTCGGAAACCCTGTACAGGGTTGCTATGGGTTGGAATCGACTTGATGGCAATTAACAACAACAAAAGAGAAGCAGGGACAAGCAAATGTGGTAAAACTATGTAATGGTATATTATTAAACTAAAAATGAATGTAATAATATATGCTGTAATATAAATGGGCTTTGAAATACTATGTTAAGCAAAACAATCAGACACAAAAGTTCATATTTGAAAATAAATTATTTATAAGGAATATCAGATTAGACAAACCTGTAGAGGTAAAAAAAATATAATTGGCTATAATAACTTGTGAAAGAAAGGATAGGGGAAGGACTGATTAATAGGCACAGGTTGTTCTTGTGTGTGGGATGGGTCATGTTGAAAAAATTATGAAGCAAGATATAGATAAGACCTGTATGACATTGTGAATGTACATAATGCCTTTGAATTGTAACCTTTAGAATGTTTACAATTGTAATTTTTGTTATATATATTTATCACAGTAATCAGCAACAACAACAAAAAATATTTATACTTGTAACAAGTTTTAAAAGAATGAAATTATTTATTGCATTATGGAGAGACATACTATGGTGAGATAAAGATGCAGTTAAAATCTTTGATAATGACAGAGTTTGTAGGAAAAATATTCTCAAATTCTGGCAATTTAACAGAATTTCCCAAATAATATAGCACCAAATAAATGATAAATACATAATTCAGGATAGCAATTATCTCTGGAAGTGAGGTGTATGATGCATAGGGGATTCTGACTGATAGTCTAATTATTTTGTACTTGTGAGAAAGTCATCTTCCTTATCCTGCCAATTAACCTTTTCTCTGTCTTTGTTTACACTCAGTATGCTTTTCTAAATGTAAAGTCCTTATTCATTGAAAAATGATTTTCCTCATAAAGAGAAACTTAAAAGTTGTGAATGAGAGGTCAAGACTACAGGCAATGCCTAAAGACACCAGAGATTCAATTAATTTGCTTGACCTGGTATCTGTGTGTAGATGTAAACAAAGAAGAGTAAGAAGTACAGCAACAAAATGTGACTAAGGGGAAAACTAAAACGCAGGTCCATTTTTTTATATAAATCAATTAGAAGAAATCAAATCAAATAAGGTACCAGGGAAAGATTTACAAATGATGCTATGCCGAACTAATATCTGTTCATTTGACTGTATACCTAAGACATAAATACTCTGCTACAGTTGTTAAAATAAACAAGAAATTATAGTTACTGAAGAAAATACAAAAATTATTTGTGAGCAAAAGGATTGTATGACATATATATTGGAGAGAAATGGAACATGATGATACTAGTTGAGTTGTATTTAGTTCTTAATATCTGCAGGCATTATACTAAGTGCTTATAGTTACTAGGGTTAATTTCTAGGAGGAATGATATATGATCAGTTTAAGGCTCATCTAGTAATAAGTTTTCCCATATCTGGTTATATCATTATTGTTAATTAGCAGAGCCAGTTCTAACTCATAGTGATACTGTATAGGGTTTCTGAAGCTTTCAATCTTTATGGGATTCATATTAAGAGGAAGTATATGACTCATATTCACTGGTGATGAGTTTATTAGTTATTATTATTAATTTTTTGTATCATAAATGTTACCACAAGCTGCCTGTTCAAAGAGATACATTTATTATTTTATAGTTCTTAAAGCTGGAAGAAAGAAACGAAGGTGTCAGCAGGGGTGCATTATCTTATACATTCTTGCGCTTTTTCTGCATCAGGAAAATCATAGTTGTTTCTAGTATTATTTGAGCAGTGGCCAAATACTTCTATTAATCTCTCTGGTTTCCTATATTTGTTTGTCTCTTCTGCACTATGCTCTGAGAACACATGTGGTTGCAATTAAGTCTATCACGATAATCCAAGCTTACTCTTCTCTACAAAAACTGGGCAATCAATGTAACATTCACCCTTTATCATACTGGTAATATTCACAGGTTCCAAATGTTGCTGCTCATAGTATAGTGCTTCTAAGGTGTTGCTGGTGGGTGTGAACCATAGACCTTGTGTTAGTAGTCCACTGCTTATCCTACCATACCACACCAGGACTCTAAATATTAGAATGTGGAAATTCCATTTGAAGACACGCACTTAAACCACTACAGGGGTTGAATTTTCTGATGACTCCATAAGGCATATTAACTTAGGTTCAGGAAAGAGTGTAAATTTTCTCTCCCTGGGTATCATGTATGGTATTACATATGCATCTGTTGTAGAAATCTAGAAAAAAATTAGGGAAATGAATCCTAGGATAAAGCTAGTACATACAACACTAATGATGCTCTACTGTCCTCTGCTGTTATAATCCCCGTGTCTTAGCTCTTCTCTTGCAAGACCTTCTAATATTTCCCTATACTTTTGTGCAAGTTAGTGTCTGAGAATCTTTTAGTCACTAGCTTTAATGGCTTTGGCACTGATGATATTCAAATATCTCATGTTGTTGTTGTTGTTGTTAAGTGCCTTCGAGTCGGAGCCGACCCATAGCGACCCTGTACAGGGTTTCCGAGAGTGTAAATCCTTACGGGAGTAGAAAGCCTCATCTTTCTCCCGCGGAGCGGCTGGTAGTTTCGAACCACTGACCTTAAGATTCGCAGCCCGATTCGTAACCACTACGCTACCAGAGCCACTTAAAATTAATGAGAAACTATACTTATTCCACTTTGCATTTAATGAGATTGAGTGTGGTTGATGCTGATGCTGATAGGCAAAGACCATTTTCCAGTGACCGGTCTTAATAGTTAATGAATTGGAAGAGATGAAAAAAAAAAAAAATCACTAAAATCAATGTATTCTACCAAATAACTTTTTCAAGCTTACCTTTATATCCTTATTCCTCAGACTATAAATAAAAGGATTCATCATTTGAGGCACCACAGTGTACATCACTGAAGCTACTGCTGCTTTCTTGGGAGAGTTTGTAAACGGTGAACTGAAGTATACACCTAAAGATGTCCCATAGAATAAAGAAACAACTGAAAGATGAGACCCACAGGTGGAAAAAGCTTTATACTTTCCTCCAGCTGACGACATTCTCAAAACAGAAGATATGATGCGAGTGTATGAGAATATGATGCCAGAAACAGGAATACCAACCAATATGCAACCCATAAAGTATATTAAGATATTATTGATGAGGGCACTGGAACACGCAGTCTTAAGGACCTGAGCAAGTTCACAGAAGAATTGAGGAATTTCCAGTTTTGTGCAGAAGGAAAGATGCAAAACCATCAGACTGTGGATCAGGGCATTCACCATACTCATGAACGAGGAAAGTAGAATCAGTAGTCCACAGAAGTAGGAGTTCATGATGACTGTGTACCTGAGTGGGTGACAAATTGCTGCATAGCGGTCATAGGCCATTGCAGCAAGAAGGAAATTTTCAAAACCAGAAAATGCTATGAAAATGAAAATCTGGTTGATACAGCCTATATAAGTGATACTGTGCTTCTGTGTCTGGATATTCACAAGCATTTTTGGGATGGTAGTTGTGCTCAAACAGATATCAGTAAACGATAGATTGGAGAGAAAAAAGTACATGGAGTTGTGCAGGTTGGAGTCAGAGATGACCGCCAGGACTATGAGCAGATTCCCAAGGATTGTGATCAGGTACATGATCAGAAACAGGCTAAATATGAGGGGTTGTAGTTTTTGATCCTCTGATATTCCTAGTAGAATGAATTCTGAAATAATTGTTTGGTTTCTGGTTTCTATATCACCGATGAATCTGATAGAAAGATGGAGTGGCATAACAATTAAATGTGTAGTCTTTGTATTCGTAGCAGTAATAGCAGCACTGAGTGCATACATTGTCTTAGCTAAAGTAGAATTATATAAGTAATACAATAAGTTTGTCTTCTCCAAGAAAATAACTTTAGTATTTAAAAAAGAAAAAATATATATATACACTTAGTAATTTAGAAATTGCAATAGACTCAAGAGGAAGATTTATGGCTCAGTCTGGGGTCCCACTTCCTTCTCCAGACAACTGGGCCAGGCAATACAGATAACATGTATATCTACCAACAACTATGAGGGTGAGTCAAAAATTATCCACACTCCAGTTTTATGAAAACTAATGTTGGGTGCACTGTCTTATCAGAACTTTCCTCTCAAGTTCACTGCTGTAAAAGTGTGAACATGCACATCTGCAAACAAAATTCATCATGATAATCCAAACTTAGATTCAAAGGAAGGTAAATGTTTTTTAAAACAGTTATTACTGGTGAGGAGACATGGATTCACCACCAAAAACTAAGAGTAAAAGGCAGAGTATGAAATGAAAACATCCTCAATTTCTCAGAAGAGAAATTTCAAAAGTCAACCATTGGCTGGAAAAATTGATGCTTGCAGTTTTCAATTCAGGACAACCAGACTTCATCTCTCATACATTAGACATATTATCAGAAGCAACTAATCCCTTGAGAAGGACAACATGATTGGTAAAGTGGAGAGTCCTTGAAAAAGAAGACCCCCAACTAAATGTATTGGGACAGTGGCAGCAGCAATGGGCTCAAGGGTCGTAATGAATGTGAGGATGCTGTAGGACTGGGCAGGGTTTCCTTCTGCTGTGCATAAGGTCTCTATGAGTAGTTACAGACACAATGGCACCTAATAACAACAACAACAAGAGGCAGTGTTGGAACACTGTCAGGGAAAAATGTTCAACAATAAACAGTGCACCATACAGTGAGATTCTGACAGAAGAGCTGGAGCCTAAGCTTCAAATTAAACCAGAGGATTCCTATCTTATTGCACTTTGTGATCCTGCATGACAATACATGTCCTCACACCTTTGTCCACAATGTTGAGACTGAAAATTTTTCATTTTGAAGTCTTAAAGCATCCACCCTATAGTCCTGAACTTTTTCCATGTGACTTTCAACTCTTTGGTCCTGTGAAAGCAACTCTTCAAAGATGAAGACTCACTTCCGATGAAGAAGTGAAGACAGCAGTGCATTCATGGCTACTGCTCAGCTTAAAATATTTTTTTAATAAGAGCATACAAAAGCTTGTTGACAGATGGACAGAGTGCACTGAAAAGAAAGGAAATGGTGTTGAAAAATGATCTTTGTCTTTCCTAAAAGTTGATTATAATAAGTTCTACAGCCAGAGTGCAAATAATATTTTACTCAATCTTGTAGATTATAAAATGAAACTGAGAAGACCTTCATCAGCTAAGGAATGTCTTTAAATGCCAGAGAATCAAATAAAAGTCATGTTTGTAAGGTTATTGCTCAATAGAAAAATCATCCTTGTCAGTTGCAAGAGACTAGCTGATTAACAGGTCTTTAAGGTTGCTGTAAATATATGAGGAAACTTAGCAAGAAATTGACACACAAGCACAATTCCCACAGAACACTTAGTTCCATCATTTGTCACATGTGCTTTCTTCATATACACCATTCTTCTATTATATCTACAGTGAAAAAGAAAAAAAACAAAACAAACTCTGCCCTTGCAAAATATTAACTACAGGATTTTGGGTTACCTTGCTGACATCTCTGTAGAATGATGCCTGATATCTGGGCTGGATGCATAACAGAAGATGTGTGCTCAGCCAGGACAGAGGGTCTCATTGAAGCACAATGTTTCTGGTCAAAAATTCCCATCTCATGGAAGAGAGTCTTTTGTTATAACTTCTTATAGGGGAAGAACTCTGAAGTGAGATACCACAGGCACATTATTTGCAGTCTCTTTATCCCTGGAGACTCAATATCCAAAGCTCCTCATTAGCCCAACACATTATTGTCTATCTGATTATCAGCCCAATGAGTAACCCACTACATTACCAGGCCTCCAGTGTGGTCCTAAGGAAGTAAAATTCCTTCAAGACCAAGAAGATGAAATTCAGGATTTTTGATGCCTTGTCCCTGCAAGACCAGCTTCATGTTATTTTCTCTTGACTTTTTTCTACTCACCTTGATGTTATATACCTTGTATATGTGAACCCACTATCACTTTCTACTTGGATCCCAGTTTTTGTTTTTCTTTTAACTACAAGTAGATATCTCTAGCTAAGCAATGATATCAGTTAACTCATATCTAACGTTAGGTGTGACACTGTAATTGAAATGTGTGACTATGAAAATGTGTTCATAAACAAATCTAATGTGTTGTAAAAATGCAAACTCAGTTAATCGGAATGTTTCCTGATCCTTAATCTATATTCTGCATACTTTATAAACCATGTTCTTAGCTATTCTCTGCTCAGTTCTGACTGTGTTCAGTATGAACAGACCTGTTATTTCCTTCTTACAGTAAGGAGCTCTGGTAGCATAGTGGTAACGAATCAGTCTGCGAACCTTCAGGTCAGCAGTTCAAAACTACCAGCTGTTCTGTGGGAGAAAGATGAGGCTTTCTGCTCCCGTAAAGATTTACAGCCTCAGAAACCCTGTACAGGGTCACTATGAGTCGGAACTGAATCCACAGCACATCACCACCACCAGAGTTGTATGGCCACTTTTCACAACATCCTCAAATACTTTAAAAATGTACTTTTCCTTACACTGGGAGAATGTGGGTTTAAATATATTTTGACTTTTCCTAGACTTGTGAAGTATTACAATATAACAAGAAAAGAATAAGTATGCAGTTTATTCATTGCTGTTGTTAACATAAGTTGAGTCGGTTCCAACTCATTGAGACCCCATATAGGGTTTAAGATGAGTGAGCATTGGATTTGAGCCACCAACTTCTTGGTTAGCAACCCAGTGATTATCTACAGTGCCAAGCAAGGTTTACTTATACTGTCAGTAAATTTAATTATATTTTAACCAAAATATATGATGATGAAGTTTCATGAGAATGTAAAAAAACTTCATTTTGTATATTCAATGTTTTCATGTATCTATCAGATATATCTCAGATGTATTAAATGTATAACAAAATTTACTGAAAGTATGGGAAAACCTTGTGTGATGCTGTATGATAATCAAAGGGTTGCTAACCAAAGGCTAAAACTCAAACTCACTGGTCACTCATCTGGGCCTATCAACAGATCTTGGAGTCCTGGTGTGGCATTGTGGGATAATGCACTGGACTTCAAGGTTGATTTGAAACTCAAGGTCGGAGTTTAAATTAACCAGCCAATCCTTGGAAACCTTATGTAGTATCACTATGAGTCGGAATAGGCTCAACAGCATTTAACAACAACAAAGTATCTTACCACTGTTAACTATATGCATGTACATAAACTTTAAAAATCTATAGTTTTGAACTGTTAAAATCAACTTGAGACAAGTTGTGATGGTTGTTGATATTAGGTGTCCTGGAGTCATTTCCAATTTAGTGTAGTGGTAATGAGAAGGTCTGCAAACCTTAAGGTCAGCATTTGAAACTACCAGACGTTTCTCAGGAGAAAGTTGTGGCTTTCTGTTCCTTTAAAGATTTACAGGCACAGCAACCCTGTACTGGATCGCTATGAGTCAGAACCAACTCCATGGCATATCACCACCACCATGCACAACAGAATGAAACAAAGCCCAGTGTAGCATCATCTCAAAAATGGTATAACGCTTGAGCCCATGATTGTTAAAACTGTGCCTATCCATCTCAATGGAAGTCTTCCTCTTTTTCGCTGACACTTTATACTAGAAATATGATGTCCTTCTCCTTATGTCTGATTTCTACTGATAGTAGGTCCAAATTATGAGAGGTGAAGTATCGCTATCCTGGTTGCTAAGGAACATTCTGTCTGTATTTCTTCTAACACAGGTTGTTTTGTTCTTTTGGCAGTCCATAGTACTTTTAATATTCTTCTCTAACAGCAGAATTCAAATGCATCAATTCTTCTATGGTCTCTCATAGTCATTGACTAATTTATGCATGCATATGAGGCTATTAAAAATACTTTAGTGCACCTTAGTCCTCAAAATGACGTTTTTGCTTGCGAACAATTTGAAGAGTTCTTGTGCAGCAGATTTACCTAATGCAACATGTCATTTGATTTACTGACAACTGCTTCCATGAGTGTTGATAATGCATTAAATTAAAATGAAGTTTTTGACACCTTCAATCTTTTCTCCATTTATCATGATGTTATTTATTGGTCCAGTGGTGGGAATTTTTGTTTTCATGACTTTGAGGTGAAACCCATACTGAAGGTTGTATGGTCTTTGATCTTCATAAATATTTTAAGTCCTCTTTGGTTTCAGTGAGTAATGCTTAATCAAGATTACTAATGACTTTTATTCCAATCCTTATTCAATGTTCTAATTCATATCATCCAGTTTCTTGGTTTATTTGCTCAGCATACAGATTGAATAATTACAATGAAAGAATACAACCCTGGCACATATTTTTCCTGATTTAAAACCATTCAGTGTCTGTTTGTTTTGTTACAATAACTGCCTGTTGGTCTAAATACGGACTCTTCAGGAGAACAATTATTTCATCTGGAATATACATTCTTTACAATATTATCCATAGCTTGTCATAATACATAACTGAAAGATTTTGCATAGTCAGTAAAGCACAGATTTTTCTGGTATTCCCTGCTTTCAGCCAAGATCCAACAGACATCAGCCAAGATCCAACAGATCCAACAGACATCAGTTGGATATTCATCATTCCATGTCTCTGTTTGAATCTGAGTTGAACATCTGGCAAGCCCTTTTCAATGTATCCTTGTAACTGTATTTTGAAAGTTTACTTGTATTTTGTAGTTTACATGGGAGGACATCAGCTTCACATATACAGATTTCTACACTCTTCTTTATTTATTGTCCAAATTTCACATGCATATGATACTTTTGAAAATATCAAGGCTTGCGTTAGGCATAATCTAGTCCTTAAACTGACATCTTTTT